CCTCTCTGTGCTGGAGGGGAGGCGGAGGGTCAGAGGTCACAGCCGGTGGGAGAAAAAGATCTGAAGGTAGGATGGGAACTTGATGTAACTTGGGCTTTGTGAGCAGATGTAAATATTGGATTTTAAGCGAGGTAATCGATTTGCCCTGTTTTAAGCATCTTTGGAAGGGAGATGAAACGGGCGATTCTTCTATCTGCTGTGACTTAGCGTCCGGTCTGGCCTCTGAGCCTGGGTGGCCTTGGACCGCCCCACTCATTTCACCGAAACCCTGTGAAGTGGGAGAGCCATTCTTCAGACCCGGGAGGGCCTAGTGCGGCGCCGTAGAGAGCTGCCCGCCGCCACCCGCCGCCGCTGGTCTGTCCCTCTGGGGAGAAGGGCAGCGAGGACATTGCGTGTAGGGTTGGGAGTGGAAATGAATTCTGTCTGCTTTTTCGAAACCTTCGATGTGTTTCTTTGACCTGCATATTTTCACTTCTCATGAAGAACACGCCTTATAAAGGGAGGACCCGACAGAGCCATCTGCTCAGAGGCCCCTCACCCACTGGCAGCGGGTGTGGCACACATAGGCCGGGGCCACCCAGGGGCGGATGCCACGTGCTCTCCGAGCCGGGGAGCATCCCAGGAAGCCAGGAGGAGGGGGGCGTGGGCCCTGGGAACTCGCAGAACTTCTGCTCACGTGGTTGCAGGCGTTTCGTAGAGTCCAGCACGAGGCCTGAGCTCCGCATTTGTTCCGGAAGAAACACGTGCGTAGTGGCAGCTCTCTCCTGCCCCGGAGACCTGGGGGCCGAGCCAGGTCGGCTGTGAGTACATCGCTGGGCCGAGCATCTCACCAGGAGGTGCCTCTGCTCTGCGCTTGGTCTGTCACAGACGGACGGACGCACTGCGGCCATCAGGCCCCTGCACTCCAGCTGGGATTCAGCGTGGAATATGCCCGCCTCCCGTAGGCTCTGGGCATGCCCCGCCCGCAGCAGTCCCAGGGGGCTGGCCCACCGTGGGGTCACTCCTGGTGTCCTTCCCTGGTCACTTCTCCCAGCACCTGCTCTGCACCAGGAACCTGGGAGGAGGGAGGTCCAGGAGCACAGAGTCAGCCAGTCTTGTCCTGGCCCTAACGATAGAATGTTCTGGAAGCTTAGGTGGGAAGATTTCTATTTTGTGTCCCCAGTGCCGAGAACAGCGTCCGGCAGAGTAGAGGCTCGCCAAGGCTGTGCTGAACGAATGAGTGATCAGTGGGATGAATGGGTGTTTGGGCAGAACAAGTCGGTGGGCGATGCCAGCCCAGCGTGGCCAGGGCAGCCCCTCTGAGGGTGCCGTGGGTTCACGGGGGCGATTGTGGAAGTTTCAGGGGCGGGGGTTTGGGAGTCAGGGAGCAGAGAGCCCGGCCCCTCTGGGCAGAGGGAGGCCCAGAGGCAGACCCAGGCCTGTGGGACGTGGGAGGTGGGGTTGAGGGGAAGGGAGTGAGTGTTTGGAGAGCTGGCATTGGGAGTCAGGAAGTGGAGGCAGATGGCCAGGCTGCAGGGGCAGGGGCAGGGGCACTGGGAGGGCTCCAGAGGGAATTGGGCCGTGGCACTGCCCGTGGGGATGCCAGCAGAGCGGGTGGCAGAGGAGGGCATGTGGCCGCGGGTGCTCACCGAGCTGGGGTTTGTCCGGCGGACAGTGCGTGCATTCTCCTCTCTCTGCTGGAAAAGCACATTGCCACCAGCTGGCTCCCCCTCTGAGGGACGAACGTCCAGGCCCCGCTGAGGCCTGGTGTCAGCTGAGATTCCCACGGCTCCCTCCTCCCGCTTGTCCTGAGCTCAGCCTGCCCCCCCAGCCTCGGAGCCCGTGTTCCTGCGCTTGGGAAGACGCGCCCCCAGGGAGCCAGTGCCTGCCTGTCCGCACGGACAGCTCCCACTTGCGGAGCAGCGCCCGGCCAGGGCCGCACAGCAGGGAAAGGCCTCCATTTCACAGACGGGGACACTGAGGCCCGGAGGACTCAGACTACTTAGCCCAGGTCCGGGGGACTGGCCTGGGGACTGAGTCCACGTCTGCCTGGCTCTCTTCTCACCACGTGACTGTGGGCAAGTTACTGTCTTTGGGCCTCAATTTCTCCATCCAGAAGATCGGGGCAGTACTAGTGCCCACATCCTAATGCTGTCGAGAGGACTCCCGGAGACTGTCCTGGACAAGGCGCATCGGGAGCTGGGCACCTGCTCTCCCTGCTTATGCCGTGTGACCTGGAGGGGCTTGGGGAGGAGGACTGGGGTCTGTGCAGGGAGGGTGGGCTCACTGGGGCGGCATCGAGTGTGGAAGGAGTGGACGTTATTAGGGGGCTCTTTTCTGTGTGTGAGTTTCTTTTTAGCCTGAACTAGGAAGTGCTTTCTAACGTAGGGGCCACGCCAGGGGAGCAGGCATCCCCCCGACTTCCTGTTACTGGAAGGACGTTCAAGAGGTGCTGAAAGCCGCGCGAATGTGGCTCAGTGGTTGAGCATTGACCCACGGACCAGGAGGTCACAGCTCCATTCCCGGTCAGGCCACGTGCCTGGATTGCGGGCTCGATCCCCAGTGTGAGGCGTGCAGGAGGCAGCCAATCAATAATTCTCTCATCATTGATCTTTCTATTTCTCTCTCCCTCTCCCTTCCTTTCTGAAATCAATAATATATATATTTAAACAAGAGAAGAGATGCTGATGGCGGGAGTGGGGGACGGAGGGGTTCCTGTGGAGGGGACAGATGTGTTTGCTTGGGCTGCTCAATATTTAAACGTGTTTTTTTTTTTTTAAATTAGTGTGTAACACATTGATTGGGAGATTTCACTCAAAGACCAATTTCTGCTAAATCAAATCAGGAACCCCCAGTCCTGCTCTTGAACATCCCCTGGGCCTTAGTATCTCCCAGTCCTTCCCTCATGGCCAGCTCCTGGCTGCCCGCCTCCAGGGCACCGCCTAGCGCCATCTGCTGGTGCAACTGTGGAGGGCAAGGGAGCCCTGGGTGGGCACAAGGCTGTCTCCAGGGCTGGCTCTCCCAGTGCCTGGCCCAGTTCTTGGGAAGATGTGCGACGCCGAAGGGAAAAGGTCTTGGTGCCCAGATAGTCCCTCATTCCGGGTGGAACGCCGGGAAGTCGCCTGGCATCGCCCCTTCCCCTCCCGCTGCCCCCTCTGATGGAGCCGCGGGGAAGTCCTGGGCCAGCTGTGCTCGCTATCAGCCAGTCAGGCAGAGGTGCCCGCTGCGAGGAGGGGGAGGAAGAGGAGGAGGAGGAGGGGGAGGAGGAGGAAGGAGAAGCTGGCTGGTTTGAGCATCGCTATGTGCCAGAACCGACACGGCCTTCACTAAGGAAGCCATTCACTCCTCCAGCAGCCCCGTGGAGGGGGCTCCCACAAGCCCAGGGTCCCAGGGAACCGGCCACAGAGTCCCCTCCTTCTGACTCCGACACTGGCCTGGGCGGGCGCCTCCCTCGGCTCTTTCCGCTCCTGCTCAGTGAGACTCCAGCTCCATCTCCTCGTTACTTGTCCTGATTGCACACAGCTCTGCCGCGACCATGGCTGCAGCATGAAACCAAGTGTCACGCTGTGGCTGGTGAGCAGTGAGTGCCACGCCGTCGCTCCCAGGCCCCACCAAGGGCCCGCCGTCTCTGCCAGGCCCTGCCCAGGCCGGGGCTCAGGTCTGTCCCAGGCTGAGCGGTAGGCTGAGGTGTCATCTTTTATTCAGCCAGGCCCTGACGTTGGGCCTGCAGGCAGTTTCCCTTTCCTGGCTAGCAACAATGCAGATAGAGCTGCCCTTCACGGCGAGGCATCTGACTTTTCCCTGCGGGGGTTCTCTCCATAGAGTAAATTCCCAGGTATCACTGAGCTGGGCTTCATAAATCAGCATGATGGGCTCGGACCTCAATATGCTGCACAGACCAAAGGCATGCACTTAGAGAGAGATTTTTAAAAATCCTCACCCCAGGATATGTTGTCATTTATTTTATAGAGAGAGGGAGAGACAGAGAGAGAAAAAAACTTTTTGATGTGAGAGAGAAACGTCAATTGGTTGCCTCCTGCACACACCCCGACAAGGGCCGGGGATTGAACCGCCAACCTAGGGAATTGGACCCACAACCTTTGGTGCACACGGCGACACTCCAACCAAAGCCACCTGGCAAGGGGGGAGAGAGAGATTTTTAAGGGCCAATTAAATGCAAATGTCTGCTAATGGAAGAAACGGTTTTAAGCTCACAGGCAGGGTTTCCCTCCATTTTTGGGGAGGGGCCTCTGCGTGGTGGGTGGAAGGAACAGGAAGGTGGCAGGGAAGGCCCTCCTGAGGGGCTGGGCTTCCTGCTCATTGGAGGGCAGTTGGGCTTTCGTTGTCGCGGAGCCGACGTCACTTTTTCACCAGCATTTTGGGGATCCCGGTATAAGATCCCAGGTGGGTGGCGGCAGGGAGCCGAGGTGCGAACCTCACCACCTGATAACCCAGTAATCCCGGGGGACCCGGTCAGCTCCCCGAGCCTCACGTTCCCCTCTGCAGCTCAAGGCGAAGGCCCCCCATCTCATCTCTAGGCTGTGAAAGTGCAGATACAAAAGGAGGTGAAGCTGCCGTGTCCACGGGGAGATATTAGTTTCGCAGAGAGTGGTCCTCAGACCGTGGTCCAGAAGCACTGGGCGGGCGGAAGGGACTCCGGCTTCCCCAGCCCTGCCGCGGCCCGAGCTCCCAGCTCTGCACCCCTCTGGGACCCGCCTTCCTACCAGGCGCCCCAGGCTGAGTCTCACTGACATTCGCTTACCCCGGGCTGTGGGGTGCTCAGGTGTCGTCTCAAGCTGGGGGGCTAAGGAGGGGGCAG